ACTGTCATAAATGTCTGCAAGGAGTCGGCCATGAAATCTGCACTGGTTGGTGTGATCGTGGGTGGAATTTATCTCCTAGCAGGTAATGACAGATGTTGTAGATAAATAGGGGTGTGTGTGTACGTGTGTGCACGTGTATGTGCCTAGCAAGGGAGCTATGGCTCAGTTGTGTAGTCAGCAGTAGCTGGAGATTTGGGAGAAGCGCTAGACTTGATCGGAGAAGCCCTTGTCAGAGGCAGGTGGTTTAATTGTGAAAGGAGCTCATTTTTTTGTCTTGGAAACTGCGGGGCTGAGGAGTTGCCAGTGACTGTAAGGATCTGGGGACAGCCCAGGCAGGGCCTTGCTAGAAAGCTGCATTCCTTAAAAAGTGGATTCTCTTCTTTGCTGGGAGGGACTAAAGCACAGGCGTTTGCTTCAGAGCATGGGTGCCTGCCTCGCGTTCAGATGCATTTTTGGACCCACACACCACCTCTCACCACCCTCTGTGCAAGCTTTGCTTTGCTCTCCTCCCTTTATCTGGCTTTTTAAAGGCATTAACATCCTGCGTGGAACAGCGTGGCTCTGTGGTTGAAAGGAAAGTTCTGAGTCTTTCACTGCCCCATCTTCCCAACTCCCCGCGTAGAAACGCCTGGCGAGAGAAAGGGCAAAACTGCACATTGCTATGGAAATGGTGGTAGTGATGCAAGCAACCATGTCATTGCAGGGAACAGGTTTGTTGCGGCTAATTCTCTGCTTTAGGTTGTTCCTGTACAAGAAGGGAAGTCCTAATTAGGACGCACCATGGGAAGGGCTGCTGGACCATAGCTGTCCTCTGGAGAGAGGACAAGGTGCTGCTCAGCAGTGAGCATCGCTGCTGTGGCACATGGTGCTGCTGGAAAGGCTGGCAGCGCTCGCGCCCTGCATTAACAGCCAGTGAACAGACCTCCCCTCGGGGATATCTACCCACCTGCCTGCTACGTGAGACTCTCTCATGCATATGCAAGTGACAGGCGTCATATATAATATGTAGCATGTACAACACGTTCGCAAAGCCACGCTGAGGAATAGCCACGGTGACACTGGTGTTTGGCGCATACAGCCATTTACCAGATACCCCGGTGATTGTTCTAGAGATATCTGGGTGGCAGACCTAGCATGGGATGGCTGAAACTTGGCTTTGCCTTTTGAAAGCAGTGGAAACGAGAGGCTTCCACAGTGTAGTAAATCCTAGAATGGGACCCGACCCAAGGTACAAGCTGTGATTAATGTAATTATTAGCTTGAACACTCATACATTAACCAGTGTATTTACAAATAAATCTTCTGACAGCAACTTAGTCTTTCATGTTCAAATAGCAGCTTTCTCTGATGTGTGTTAGTTGGTCCTTTTTTACATATTAAACTTAATGAATTTCTTATCTAGTTAAAAATAGCTATGCAGTGATACCATGATCTGAGTGGATGTTATAATATACTGGCATTTCCTTTATTACCAGTGAATATTTCAGCCTAAGGGGCTCAGAGACAGCACAGCACAGTCTGTAAAAGTAAAAAGTACTTGTTTTTATGACAGAAGTGTCGCATGGAATTAAGGCCAGTTCTCCTAACACCTGAGCTGGTGTGTGCTCACGCCTCTCTGTGCGGCTTCTCAGGACTGCACTTGAAAGTTTAAACAGAGTTTTTAAAAACACGGCAGAAGGATTGCAAAGACATGCGAGCATCCTGTGCCCGAGGAAGTCTGGCATAACAGGTATAGGCCAGGAAATAGTCTGCATCTTTTTGCCGCTGTCATGGCCCAAAGCAAAGATTGTGTTGTTCCTGGAATGGGGTGATTTCCTTTGCTTTCTTCTTCATGTTCCCAGCTGCATTTGCACTCTGTTGTTTGCAGCCAAAACACAAAACTGAAATCCCCTCTGGGACGCTGAAGTTGGCATCTAGCAGGCAGCGTGGACTGGAAATCTCCTTCTCCTGTGGCTGACTCGGTCTCTAAGTTCCAGTGTTACCAAAGCAGCTGACAGACTGGCTGGTGTTCAGAGACAGACGATAAACATCTCAGCAGGCTCAGGGGGCTGACAGCCAAATCCGAGTGGCAGGGGTGGGGGCACAGGGCAGGGCAGCTGTTTCTGGGTGGCTGTAAACACCACAGGGAGGGAGAGTTGCTTGGCCTGGTAGGTGAGAGCAAACATTTGCTGTCAGTGAGGTGTAGGACTCTCTGCACACATCTCCCTTGCCTCTTGCAATGGTTTCAGACTCCAATGGCCAAAGGCAAGTGCACTTCACCGGCCCCGCGGAGCACAGGAAAGGCTCTGGGAGGGCTGGTTGTTTGCAGGCAGCAGCAGTGAAGATGGTGCTGGTCAGTTTGGGAAGCACTGGCCTCTGGCTGCAGCCACCCATCTCTCTCCCCCTCGCCTCACTGTGCTCCTGCACCTAGGTCACAGAGCAGCAGACATGGCCAAGCCGTGCCGTGGTCCTAAGTGGTGGCTCATACTTTTTACCCGTTCCAAACAAAACAGCAGAAATCAAAACATCACTATCCCCAGGGAGAGCTCGGTGTTTAATTAGCCACAAACTCGGGGTGGTGCACTCACCACAGGGATTAATTTGCCACCTGGCAGAGAGCTCACACCGCAGGTGCCATCTGGGAGCCTGGGAAACGGTACAAACAGACTTGCCTGCTGCTGTTTCCGTGGGGAGTTGCGCGGATTTCTGCTCCAGGCCTCCCACCTCTTCACTCGCACGGCTCCCTCCGTTTGCCAGGCTGAGACTGAGCCCCTGCTCAGCTGGGCGTGCTCTTTCCCTCCTAGCCCACTCTGGCTGGAGCCCTCTCCCAGCACTCCTCTGCTGTGTTTCTTAGAGCTGTGTCCCAGTTACCCACAGCTGGCCAGGGCTGCAGTCCCCACCAGCCGCAACTCTCAGCAAGCCGGTTTTTGGCTTGGGCACACCTACAGCCTGACCCTGCCAGGCAGCATCCCAAACCCTGTGCTGGACCTAAGAATCATCCTTGGTTCACTCAGTAGCCAGGCCCCTGCCCTGGAATTTGCTTCTGCCAGCAAATGTGAATCCTCACGTGAGACCCCTGCCCCCAGTGTGACCTGCAGCATCCCCTGCTGACCCATCTTCACTCCAGCCAGAGGCTTCTGCTCTGTTCCTGAGCTTCTTCAGAGCGAGGGCAGCCCAACGAGCTCTGCTTGCAATAGCTCCTTCCCTTCATGTATGGCTGCAGCTGGATATTGAAATCCCTGCAGATAAATCTCGATTCCCTGCAACACACTCTCCTTCCATATGCAGAAGCATTTGGACTCAGGAGCATTGGGCAGGTACTAAGTGCTTAGCTCATCAAGTCCCTGTGCAGAAAGTGCTTAGCTGTCTGCATGGAGCGGGTTCTGGCATCGGCGACCATGTCAGAAGCAGCACTGACTGCCCACTGACTCAGCTCTTTGTCAGGCCAGCGGTTACTGTTCAAATGCAGCGCTTGTCTGCTCTTAATCCATTGGAGCACTGTTCTGCGCAGCATCTCAGATACCTCTCTGTCCTTCTTACGGATCAGTGCTGGCTTAGCATTAATCACAGCACAGACCCAGCTTAGCTGGGTGGAAGATCCCCACACCTCCCGGGCCTGCCACGCTGCCTCGTGGTGCTTGTATGTGAACCCTAGAGACCGACAGGGAAGTACCGTCTGGAACCAGATGGGTGGTGACTAACGTGACTCTTGTGCAGCTCAAGGCAGTACTTCCCTGGCCAGCAGCAGAAGTCTTGGCCTGAAGAGCAGCTAAAGAGAGCTTTTTGGGGAGGGCCTGAGGGGAGTCAACTCACTCGGTGACTCTACAGGATGCTGCATTTAGGTGTGGCCTGGTGCGCCTCGGTGGCACCAAACCAGGACATGCAGTCAAGAGGCCCTAATTTATCTTCTTTATCGTCCCTATAGCTGCTCCTACTCTAGCATCACCATGTCCCCTCACATCTGCCTCCAGCTACTCTTCAAGCTGTTCAACACATTGACCTTGGCTCCCCAGTGGTTTTTCTTTTTAAATGTTTTTTATTTTTTGATTGACTTCCTTTGTGCTCAGATTCCTTCTTTTCCTTGCCTCTATCCCATGCATGCTGGCTGGCTGGACTTTATAATGTCATTACAGCTGGATAATCCACGCTTAGCTTATCTGTGCAGCTCTGAAGATTAGTGGGAACTAATGTTGTTGGGCTAGATAAGCAGCAGTTTTACCTTCAGAAAGTGTTTTACCTTTATCAGCCTGAAGACACGTAGGAGCACAACAGCCGGTTTTCATTAAACCCTGCTGATTGCAGGGGCTCCTTTACCTTTCTGGTCCTGCTGAGACACAGTTAGCAGCCCTACAAAACAAGCCCGCTGTAGTCCAAGGACGTTTATGCCATTTCCTTCACAGGGACTGTTCAGTGCTGAGTTCAGTGAGTGTGCGGTAAGAACATCACCCCTAAGCATTTCTGGGATAGTTTAGGCGGGTGTAAGTGCAAGGCTGGAATAGTTGAGGCAGGGGTGATGCAGCACCGGCCAGGGGTTTGCACTAGACGACCTGAGGGCCCTTCCCGCCCTACTTTCTGATTCCATCAGTTCCTGTAAATGCAACAGCAGGTCCAATCAGCCAAGTCTTCCTCTGCAGTTTGCCTTTCTAGTGTTCTCTGGTGCAACCCAGGCCTGGGCAGCATGTAGATCCATTGGCAAAACACAGCCAGGGCCAGGGGCTCTGTAAACGATGACTGGAGGGAGCTCCGTAAGCTAGAAGACAGACCTGCGGTGGCTGGGAGGGCAGTGCTAGATGACCAGAGGGGCCCACTCCATCTCTGACTCATTTGTGTCCTGTGGGCAGGCAGCAGTAAGTGCAGAGCTCCTTGCCGGCAAAGCTGGGCCCATGGTGGCTTCACTGAATGGGAACAGCCCAAAGAGCTGCCTGTGATGGGGAGGGAGGGGTGGTCTTCCCAGCTTGGTACTGCAGGAGAGGGGGCCCCAGTCATCTGCAGTAAGAGCCTGTTTCTCAATCTCTTTCCTAGGCGTGGAGTGTGCCGTTGACATCAATGAGTGCGAAGATGGCCCCTGCGAGAATGGGGCTGCCTGCGAGGATGGCATTGCTGACTACCCCTGCCGCTGCGTCCCCAGCCAGAATGGCACTGTATGGGGCGGGAAGAACTGCTCCATCCAGCTCACCGGCTGCCAGACACATGACTGCCAAAATGAGGCCCTCTGCACCCCAACGTATGTGGCAGGGAGCCACGGCCACCTTTGCCAGTGCCAGCCTGGCTTCTACGATGCCACATGCTCAACCCCAACAACCTTCTCCTTTGCCTCCAGGACATTTCTCCCCATTGACATGTCCACAGGTGGTTGGAGCAGGAAGGATGTGGCAGGAGTTCCCGTGGCCAGCGTGTCGCTCCGGTTCAGAACCACACTGCCTGATGGCATCCTCTTTTACCGAGGCCAGGAAGGAGCATACCTGTTCCTGGAGCTCTCTGGTGGCACACTGCATGCAGGGGTGCAAAGAAACAACGCCAAATCCTCTTTGGCCTTGGAGGGACTGAAGGTTGATGATGGCCAGTGGCATAAAGCTGAGGTTCTTCTGCAGCACTCGGTGGAGTTAAAGCTGTGGCACGAATCCTGCGATGCAGGAGTCTGCCTGCAGAGCGCTGTGGTTGGGGACAGTGCTGCTCTGCTCCCACCACCCTTCCTGAAAGCCTATGTTGGGGGGGTTGATGGCAGCGGGGTAGCCAACACCACACGCAGCCGGCAGGGTTACATCGGCTGCTTGCAGGACCTGCAGGTCGATTCCCAGGCTGTCCTTCCCCTGGATCTCCTTCCCAATGCATCCTCCCTGGCAGCACTGGGCTGTGACAGGACGGAGTGGTGCCAGGCCCAGCCCTGCTCTCACGGAGGCTCGTGTGTGGACCTCTGGGCAACCTTTAGGTGCAACTGCTCCAGGCCTTATGAAGGCCTCACCTGCTCATACGGTAAATGTCAAGTGACAGCACCTGGCAGCTCCTTTGGCAATGAATGCTTGGAGATGCTGACACTGGCTGTGAAGCTGTGGGCAGGGCAGAACTGCACCTTCATAGACTAACAGAATCAGAGACATAACATTAAGCTCTTGTAAACGAGTTAGTCTACAAAGGTGCAAATCTATGCTGCCTTCTGCCTGTCCCATGGCTAACTACCTCTCTCTCGGGGGAGGCAATAACCTTTTCTGTGTAACCAAAGACTGAGGAAGCAGGTATAAACAGAATTTCCATCAAATCCTGTTCTGTGTTGTGACAGTGCAGAGCCAGCTCCTGATGGAGTGATTGCCAGGTCCATAGCACACGCATTATTCCAGCCAGGCCCAGATGCTCAGACCTCCTCTTTGTGCCAGCTGCAGTGCTTGCAGAAGGGCCGTGAAGTCCGTTCACTTGCCCTTCAGGAGCTTAGGTGTTGTAGACTAAATGCGCCAGTTGAGACAGCTCTTGAATTGGAAAGCTCGGCTGAGCTCACACTCGTTTGCATTTTCACATTCCTGCGGGGCTGGTGTTAATTCTGTTGTGCTTCCTGTTGCACTCCTCTTCTTGAAACATAGTAGGGACAGACGTGCCTCTGCTGTTGTGGGGCTGGGAGTTTTAAAAAAGCAGCTTTATCACTTAAACTTCCCAAGCAAAACCTGCCATTGGCAGCCCCTGCAGACCTGTCCTCTACAAATGGCAGGGATGCTGGCACCCTAAGCCTTTGGGACTGGCTTGCCAGAGGCAGTAGGACGAGACGTCCTGTTCCTCTAGTACACGGAAGGACGCTAGTCTGGAGGAAGAAAAGCCAAGTGAGGTGCTGTAGCTCGAAATATCCCAAGGCACCTGCGTTGCCCTCCTGCAGAAATGATGCGCCTTTCCTTTCCCTTGCAGAGTATCCGGCAGCAACGTTTGGCCTGGAGGATTCCTACAGCTTGGCCTCTTTCACACTTGCAGATAATCCCATAGCTGACTTCAGTGTTTCCTTTTTCATCCGCACGCTGAAGCCAGAGGGCCTGGTGCTGCAGGTCCATGATGGGACTGAACCCTGCCTCACTGTGTACCTGAAGGATGGCTGGCTCCTGCTAAAGACACCATTCGCAGGCCCCATGGCGCTCTCAGAAGCGCTGGCTGATGGGAAGAGACACTTGGTGACACTCTCCTTCCGAGAAGGAGTAGCTTACACCAGTCATTCAGACAGAGAGGTGGAGCTCGGGCACCTGGTCATGAGGCCTCTTGCAGCTGGCCATGTGGTACATGTTGGCAGGCTTCCTCAGCAAGAAAGCATGGGGACTTGGGGAGGCTATTTTAAAGGCTGTCTTCAAGATATCCAGCTCAACAACCATCGCCTGGAGCTTTTTGCTCATCAGGCAGACAACTACAGCCTACCACAGGAGGCATACATGGGACGAACTACTGGCCTCGTGCAGGGCTGCATCTCTGACGACACCTGCAAGGTAGGAATGCTCTGTTCTCTCTGCACGGGTGCACTGGGGCTGATCACAAGCAAATGTGTGGGGCTACAAGGCTACGGGCGTGATGTCCGGGAAAAGGTGACTGTTTAAGTGCTAATGGCAGGGCAGCACCTTGGAGACTAACTAGTTCAGAGAGGCATGCACTTTTGTAGGCAACAACCTGCTCCATCAGATGCTACAAATGGTGATAGCACCCAGCCCCTCAGCATTTCCGTAGTCCACTGTCTCCTGCGCACACTGCAGCCTCCTCGGGGGCTGACACCTGGTGCACACAACCTGTAAGCACTGCCTGCCCCTAGGCCCCTCACCACACCCTGGTACCCTCTAACCCATTCACCCCAGAGACGCTCCAGTCTCCGTCCCATGACAGTCTATGATGTTAGTGACAACCGAGTCCAGCACTACTTGGGCAGGGCGCAGAAGGACGTCTTTGGGTGTCCTTAAAGGAAGAAGCTCTCTCCTCCCTCCTGTGCTGGATGGTGCTTCTCCCTGCCCCACCTGCCTGCCTTCCCTGCAGCCCTTGCAGGGAAGTATTGCTGCTCCTTCCTGGTGTTGTTTCCAGGGACTTTTTGACACTTGCCTCCAGTGTTTCTCACCCTTCCTTTTGTGCCTCACAGTTTTGTTTCCACCTGCACCTGCGAACTACAGTGAAGATATTTTCCTGGGTTATAATTAGCCAGTGTTTGCAGAGCACTTGGGGAAGGGGAAGTGCTATATAGGTGCTAAGGATTACTGTTATGATGTGCTGTGTTCTTATGCCACCAAATGTCAAATGCTTCAGTTAAAGGAGATGGAATGAAACCTGCAGGGATTGGCACCTTCTCTATTTGTTTTTAATGACTTAGAATTGGCCTTTAGCTCCGGATGGCTATTCTCAACTGCACACAATTAATCGCTAATTATCTAGTACTATCAGACTTCTTGGTGCATCAGTAGCCAGTGTTTTCCTTGCTGTCTTCTTCATGCTACCAAAGGAGTGGGCAGCAAAGGAGAGGCTGTTCCCAGAAGAAATGACCCTAATGTCACACGACAGGTGTAGTATGGAACATCTCCCGCTTTTCTGTGTGGCATGTGACCATTAGTTCATCCGGGTCTCGCTCCCACGTCGCTTCCCTCCCATCTCATTCTCGCCCCTTTCTGTGACAGGATGGCTTTTCAAATACAAGCACTGTGCCTGTCTGTAGGAGCCAGCCCCTGGGCAGAGCCCCTTCCTCCAAGCTGCAGCAGCACCAAGTTAGGCAGCTGTGTGCTGTGCCCTGACCACATGCATGCCACAAACAGAAGCCCACCAAAGGCACTAGGCTGTGGCAGGTGACTCAGTTCATAGCCTGCAGCGGGCCAGAGCTCAGTTTCCCCTTGGCCCCCTGTAACTGAGTGCCCCACAGAGACCCATAAACCCCAGAGAGGACCCCAAACCCAACGTACCTGTCTCCAAGCATTTGCTGGAGCACATGGGATTGCCGACCTTCCCGGGGAGACAGCCACTTCAGCAGAGAGAACAGTCCAAGTCAGAGGTCCACACGGAGGATGCCCTGCCAGTAGCTCTTGCACTCCTAGGTGGAGGCTGCCCCATGCCGAGGGCATCACCACTGCAGCAACCAGGCACGCGGCAGAAGCAGGATCACCAGACACGACAAGGGTGCTCAAGCCTCTGGTCCCCCCTCTAGGCTGTCCTTGTTTTAATCAGCATTACTCCTCTCTCCCTCTCCGTCTCCGATGTCCTGGCTGTCAAGCTCCCCTCTGTCCAACTCGTTCTTCTAGCCACAGGTGAACTGGCCCCTCCTGAACAAAGCTCTCCTTTTTTTCCAGTCCAAGCCGTGTCACAATGGCGGGGTGTGCACTGTCACCTGGAATGACTTCAGCTGTAGCTGTCCAGCAAACTTCACGGGGAAAACCTGCGAGGAAAGAGTCTGGTGTGAAAGTGACCCCTGTCCCAAAGCCACCGCCTGCGTGGATGTCCCGGCAGGCTATGTCTGTAAGTGCTGAGGGAAGCTTCCTAGCGGATCGGCTCTTGCTTGTCAGTGTTCCCACCTACACAGTTGCTATAGGTAGAAGGGAAAGTGAGGCAGAGACAGAACTGGCCTGAGTGTGATGCAGGCCGTGGCCTGTCTCAGGGACCTGCCCTGGATCAACCTTCACCTAGTGGGTTGCATTTTTCTTTTTCTAGCTTGACATTTCCTCACTGTGCCAGACCTCTTGCTACTTGCTGCATATCCATCCATCCCTGCTGCATACACATCCACTTTCAGACACAAGTGGCACTTCAGTGCCTACAGTCCAGGTAAGACTTGGGCTTCCCAAGTCCCTATTACTATCTCCCTTCCCTGCAGGTCTGGCAAATGCCACGTTTTATGGCCATGCTGCCACCGAGTTCACCACCAACGCTTCGGTGACCAGAACACTCAGCAGCGTCCGCTTGGACTTCAGAACCAGAGATGCGGATGCCATTTTGCTTCGGGCCACTGAAGCGGTGGGCTCTCTCCAGATCGCCATCCAGAACTCCTCCCTGCTCGTGGAGATGAGCAGTGGGAACAGCATTGAGGGTGCCAGCTTCCGGAGTCAGATGCCTGTCACCGACGGGGCCTGGCACACGGTCTCTTTGACCATGGAGGAGCCATCAGCACTTTCTTCACGCTGGCTGGTTCATTTGGACAATTCCATGAATGCAACTCTCCAGGGGAGGGCTGGGGACTTGGCTTTCTTGAGGACCAATGCACTGATTGTGCTGGCTGAGAATTTCACAGGCTGCCTTGGAGAAGTGACCATTGGGGAAATCCACTTGCCCTTCACTGCCCACCTCCCTTACCCTCAGCCTGAGCAGTTCTTGCAGGCTGGGGGCAGTGCCATCCAGCTGGGCTGCACGGGGGCCGATGTGTGCGGGTCAGGTCCTTGCCTCAATGCTGGCACTTGTGAGGACCTGTTTGATTCCTTCCGCTGCGCTTGCAGCACAGGGTGGGCAGGCCCGCTCTGCGAGGCCAACATCGATGACTGCCAGGCCAGCCCATGCGTCCACGGGACCTGTGTGGATTTGGTGGCTGACTTCCAGTGTGAATGTGCCCCGGGATTTGCGGGGAAGAAATGCGATGTGGACGTGGATGACTGTGGGCAGCACAAGTGCCTACACAGTGGGACCTGCGTCGATGAAGTCGCCGGCTATTCCTGCAAGTGCCTGCCACAGTACTCTGGCCCACGCTGCGAGTGAGTGCCCCACTCAGGTTGCTGGCACTGTGGGGAACAGGACAGTCCCTGGAGGACTGGGGTTTGCCTTTGTGAGAGGTTAGAAAAGCAGCGTGGTGCTGAGTGGGTCTCACTGATCTCACCGCGTGGAGGGAGATGTCAGCATACAGCTGTGACCGGCAGGTGGCCTGGCACACTTTGCCAGGTGGTATGCCATGCTTTACCATGGACGGGGTCCAGGCACGCTGGAGTGGCCTGTGGTGCTAGACCTGGCCCCAGAGATGGCCTGCTGGGTGGAGGGCGGGAGAGGGGCAGTCTGAGATACATGAAGGAGCATACCTTTTACACCCCTGCCTGGTGCCACATGTGGTGATTACATGCTGCAGCACTTGCCACCATCTAAACTGAGCACATCTTCCCAAAGCATCTGTCCCTGCCGTGGCAAACAGCACCCCTTTCCTTCAACCTCCTCAGCAGCTCCAGCAGTGATGGCGCACCTCAGAACAGCTGCCTCTGCCCTTTGGCCTTCTCTGGGGAACGGTCGGGCAAGGGCAGCAGGCAGGCAGGTGCCCTGTCTCCTATGGTGCTCGCCGAGGCAATTGTAGAGAGAGTCCCAGGCCAGACACAACCTATGAGTATTCACACCCCATCACAGTTCTGCCTCACTGCTCCAAGCTTAGCCCTGGGAGGAGCTCTCAGGGGTCATCTCAGCTGAGATGGTCCCTAACTGCTCAGGGACATCCTCCACCCTGCACCACATGTGTAGGTACATGTGTGTGTCCATGGGCATCGTGTTGAACAGGACATCAGTAACAGCAGTCTCTGCTTTTCCCAGGTGGCCGTTTCCCCCTGAACAATGCGGCAAAAACTTCACCTGCCTGAATGGTGGCAAATGCACCAGTGGCCCGTGGGGAGCCAACTGCACCTGTAAGCCGGGTTTCACCGGACGGAAGTAAGTGCTGCCCCAATGTGGTCTGCACCACAGGTTGTGCTGGGGCCAAGTGCCATCTCTGCCAGCCTGGGCACTGCTGGGACAGCAGGGCAGGCCCTTTCCATTGCGGTTATTGATCCTACAATGTTTAATTGGGAGCTCCACAGCCCAGCCCCCTGGCATGCAGGGGGCAGGCGTGACGGTGCTAATGTTGCCTGTCCTTTAAGAGCATGCCCCATTTCTAAGCTTCCTTGTTTAAACTACATGTCTGTGTTTCACAAAGCAGCACTGTACCACGTTAGAGAAGGGAAAACACAGTTAGCCATGAAGCTGAGGGGCACTGCCTGGAGCCCAAGAGTCCCTAACTGCTCAGGGACATCCTCCACCGTGCCCCACATGTGTAGGTACATGTGTGTGTCCATGTGCATCGACTTCCAGCCCACACCACGTGTAGGTACATGTGTGTCCATGTGCATCGACTTCCAGCCCACACCACATGTGTAGGTACCTATGTGTGTCCATGTGCATCTGTCTTTTCCCAGCAGAAACTGCAGCCTTGTTTTTGTGCATCCATCCTGTGCACACACTCCTGGCAGCAGCATCTCTGTACCTTGCTGACATTTGCTCTGCTGCCTAGGGAGGCACCTTGGCTTCTTGCACCTCCAAATGGCAGGTGGTGGCAACATGGATCGAGTATTCATGCCCTTGTGCCTTCTAGCAGCATTTACTATGGCCCACATGAGATGCTTTTAGGATAAAGGACACTGCTGTAGGATCACACTGCCGTAGGACACACCCTGCAGCCCAGAGCACATTGTTGGAGTCGTGGCAGGCAGGAGACGCTTGTCATTTAATTCCTATGCTCTCTCCCCTTGCAGCTGTCAAATGAATATCAATGAGTGTGATCCAAACCCATGCCAGAATGGAGGGACGTGCCAGGATGCGGTGAACAAGTACGAGTGTGTGTGCAGTGCAAGCTACACAGGGGAGCGCTGTGACATTGATGTAAGTAATTCCTTCCTCCTCTTGCTACTGGCAGGCCCCCTGTCTCCTTTACTAACCGCTTGGGCTGTTGGGAGCAGAAGCAGCAATTTGGCCAGTCAGAGGCAAGCTGAAAATCCTGATGCCAGGGTTCATCCCCAATAACCTTCCTTGGACATGTTTTACACTCCTACATGCATCCAGCTACAGGAAACTAGCAGGCTTGGCTAGGAACTCAGCACAGAGGTGGCTGGTGAGCAGGAAGTCAGTACGTGGCCTGAACATTAGCCCCTGGTCTGTAGTTTGCAACATGGTACATAAATGCAGCAGCTATTTTTCAGTGTCTGCCTGGGCTGCCATGAAGCCAGGTTCCTTGGTGCTCTTGGCCCCTTAGGCAGTACCGTTCTGTGGGCAATGCTAAAGCAAGCTGCACCTGAGCCAGAGGCAGGCAGGGCTGCATGTGAGCTCGCCGTGCTGCAAGTGGACACCTGAAGCATTCATTACAACCGTGCAAAAAGAAAACATGGTTGTATCTGAAATAACAGGTCGGATAGGAGTAGAGCTGGGAGGGATATGCACACAAGGCTTAGACCTTGAGGCCACCATAGTTCTCTAGCTGGACTCCAAAATTCACTGCAGCTTTTTTCAGATTAGACAATAAGTATGAAAAGAACCTGACCTGGAAAGAAAAGCTGCTACCATCACCACTGAGACCAGAAGTGTTTGGCTAATGGAAACCCAACTAAATCCCAGGAAAGCCAAAAGCTGTGGATTTAAGGGAGAAACAAACACAGTTCTCTCATACACCTACCAGCAGGACAACTGCTACTGAGAACAATGGTCTTAGCAAAGCTGTTCTATATTATGTTGCTGCTTACTCAGAGCTTGCGTCCATGGTGCAGGGTTGAGCGTTAACACTCCTGACTTGCTAATCACTTTGCCAGTTCACGCTGCAAGACTGGGAAGGACTGTGCTAAAGCAGAGTAGAAAGCAGCTTCCTACATGGTTTACTCCCTTCACTACCAGCTATTGTCTCTGATGCCACTTGCATGGGCAGGGAGTGTGTGGTCCCCTGGGAATGTACTAACCCCAAATGCATGGAAACCAGGTTTCACTGCTGTTGCTGTTATCAATGCATGTGCCCTGCAGAAGCCACTCTACCTTTCTGATCTGCATGCTAAACACAGCCAGATGCTCTGAGACATCTCTTCTGTCACAGGATCCTACGTGCAATTTCCTCTATTACTGTTTGCCATCTTTTCCCTATTTACATCGTTTTCCCCTTTTGCCATTAGTTCATCGTGCCCATGGTGGGGAAGAGGGTGCTAGCACTGTTACTGATGGCACTAGTTGCTGTGAATTTCTCCTAAAATATACAGAGTCTGTTCTCCTGGACTAGTGAAAGGCTGAGCCTAACTCTTGGCACTCAGTGTGGGTTTGAACTACGCAGAAGGAAACGGTAGGAAGGTGTTTATGTCAAGGATAGCAGCAGCTCAGCTCTGACTGTCACCCCTTAGAATGAAAAGGGGCCAAAACTGCTGCCTGACCTGCACCTGCTGGAGCCTCCTGCCCAGCATCCTGGCTCCAGCATCACACATCCTTATTTTTAAACATGTTCTCTCCCCTGCACTCCCACGCAACAGGCCAGGGAGGTGGCAGACTGCATGCACAGCGCAAGCGGAGGTGTTTAGTCTTCCAGCAGAACTTCTCTCATCTTTTCCAGCTTCAGACCCTGCTGGTTGTAACCCAACAGGTAACCACATTTTAGCCTGGCTGTCCTTGTAAATAAAAAGACTTTTCAATGAGGCAACTCCCAAGAGCCCACAATGTTTGTGCTGTTTCCTAATCCCCTTTTGTGGCACCTTTGATGGTGAAGGAGCCACACAGTCATACACTAGCTTCCTTCAGCACCTGGGGGTTGTCTTCCAGGTCTCTTGTCCAAGTACGAAGCAGCTCACAGGTGCCTGTCATAACAGCAGCGCATGAAGTGAACACAGCTGCTTTTCTCCTTTCTTCCCCAGTGGGAAAGGAGAAAGGGTAGCACCTGACATTCCCCATTAGACAGCATCTGTCTAGGCCTGCTCTTAAGAAGCATTTCTTGAAGCTAGGAACTACCTAAGCTTTTAAAAAACACAATTCCATGTAGGTGGCTGGAAGATCACACTTCAGCAATGCTCAGCACAGAAGCTATCCAGCCATAGGCACTGAGAGCTGGCTATTTACCATTTAAATATTTTAAAGCCTCTTGTTCTCGTGCCTTGTGAGGCTCCGGTGCGGTAGAGATGGTTTTGCTCTACTAATTCTTGCTTTTGTACCAGGCAGCCTTTCCTCTGGCTCTCAGCTCTATTAAATGCTGAGCCCTGCAAACATCTGTTCTTAGTCAGCTTATGGTAATCTATGTCCCAGATACAGTTCTGCAAGGAAGCTCTCAGACAGAGGCCGGTGGGTTTAATCTTGCTGCAGCAGAAAGCTTAACAGCTATATAAACTCTTAAAGCACTAGCAGAGGAATTGCTAAACCAGCCATCCTCTTGCCATCCCTCTCTGCAGAAGGGCCCTTCCTCAACTCACCTCCATGTTTTGTCAGCTTCTGACAACATGGTTTTTGTCTAGGCATTTGGTTCCCGCCCAGCATGGCCCACCCAGCCGGCAGGTAGTCTGCATCTCCTCACAGTACAAGACCCCCAGCCTGGGTCCTGGCTGCAGAGGCAGCTGCATCTCCAGGAGCTGCCCGCCGTGACAAGCCATACGTAATATTAAAACCCTTTGGAGGAGCGTATGGAGCATGTGACATTAGTTGGACCATTTCACTTCTTCTAACCATCTCTGATGCGCAGACCAGACTCTAATCCTGCTTTTGCTAAAAACAGGTGTTCTTCCTTACGGGTTCATTCAGACTCTGTCCTCTGTAGTAGTTTTTCCAGCCCTGGGATCAGCCCCATGAGTTGCATGCAGTTGGCTTTACTCTGTCAGCTCTCTCCCCAGCTTAGCAAGTTCCCCCTCTCCTCTGTTCTTGCAGCTGGCCTGCCTGAATTAGCAGTGTTGTTAACTATCCCACTGGTGACGCTCAGCTTTTTGCATCCGATACACACCAAGGTGAGAGACGCTGGCCTTTTTGAAGGCTGAGGACAGCCGCTGATCAGTGCCCGTGTCCATTAATGAGCTCAGGCACATGCAGAGGCCATTAGGCAATGATCCTTCAGAGTCCTCAGCTGGCTGGTTTGGTGTAAGAAATGTGCATGCAGTGTGATGGCAGACTAAGGACTGAGCCAGCCCAGCATTTCCCTCTGCAGTTGCCCTCCAGCCCCATGATTTCCGTCTCTCTGTGGACCAAGGCATTGCCAGTTGGGGCTCCCATGACTTCCCGAGCATGAATAAGCTGCATTCAGTTCCCTACAATGACTGGGCTCTTATTGTGTCTCCATTAATTTCTTTTACAGAAAGGGACTCCAGGTGCTTTCTTCCCATTCCCATTACTTGAAGTAGCTGTCCCTGTAGCCTGTGGCTGTTTACTTCTGGTTATTATTGGTCTCATATTCATGGTTCTCACTGCAAGGAAGAGGCGCCAGTCAGAGGGAACCTACAGCCCCAGCCAGCAAGAGGTGGCAGGAGCGCGCTTGGAGATGGACAGTGTCCTGAAAGTGCCACCAGAAGAACGCTTAATATAGGTATCGCCATGGCAAGGAGATGCACGCCAGGGTCTGCTTAGACCTTGCGACTTTTCCAGCACTTGCTCCAGCAGATCCACGTGAGCTCAGTCCCTCTGAGGCATGGCGAGGAGGCCGTGGACTTACAAGTGCCTGGAAGATTGTTTAAGCAATGGCTGTTCCAGCTGGCTCACTTTTCATTGTCAGTTGTGGACTCCTGGCTCAAAATGAGCTTTTTACCCTCCTCTCCTCTGGACTGTCCCCCTTCTTCAACTAGCATAGGAGCTGTTTCAAGTCATTCAGGTGTTTGCACCTGGTAGGAGATGTCCCTAGCCCCACTGCCACACCGCAGTCAGATTATTAAAGACTATTTCAAAAGATGAGTAATTAGGCAGTATGACAACAGCTTATGCTTATGCTGCAAAGAAAACTAGCTACTTTCTTGTTAGAGCTGGAGAGGTGTAGAGCATATTTATGACCAGACTGTATACAGTGTTTAATTTTCCCAACTTTTCAAACCAGTTTCAAGCCAGTTGGGATGAGTGGTAGAAACCCCCTGGCACCATTTCCACAACAGCAACAGCAGCCGTGAACTCCTGCCTCCTGACAGATGCAACGCTGGAAAGAGCTGTCAGGAACTACTGCCATCATTGCACAATCAATGCATTTTATCAAGTGACCGCTGCCTGGGGTAAAGCTTTAGACATTCCCACGGGTACCACACAGGGCGTGTGCAATCGCGGCCCTGACTCGGAGCAGGAGCTATGAGTTCCTGCCGTGCTCGTGGCAGTTCAGTGCCTATCGCCAAATGCCTGACCTTTTCCAATTCTGAAAGGGTTCAGTAAAAATGTGCAGAGTGTCAGACAGGAGAACATTCATCTTGGCCCTTGGGCAGTCCCTGTAGGCTACAAACGGATGGGGACTGTGCTGCCCAACAGACAAGGACGGGGAAGCTGGGTATTTGGTAGCTGACTAAAGCAGGTGGCTTTCCTATCAGCAACATGAGATGCTTTGCACAAAGCAGCTTTCGCATGTTCTGAAAATCCTGAGAAAATGGTTTGTTCTTCTCACTGGCCTGGAAGTGTTTCAAAACTGTGATGGGGAAGTGGTAATGGGGGCAGAGAGGAAGCAGCTTTGATATTTTTCTGGTGGGAAATATTACATTTCACGAAGATGAGCTCTGAGAGTAACGGCAATAACCCTGTTCCATCACAGCAGCCAGTGTGGGCACATCTTAGCAACTCTTCGGTTGTGGGAGCAGTCGGGGCTGCAGGGGCAGCTCTGCTCCTGGCAGTTATTGCAGGCTCAGTGATTGCCATGAAGAAAAGGAGAGCCACTCAGGGAACGTACAGCCCCAGCCGGCAGGAGAAAGACGGTGCGCGCGTGGAGATGTGGAATGTGATCAAGATGCCACCAACCGAGAGACTGATCTGAGGACATTCCCAGGCACTGCTCTGCTGCAGCACTTCTGTATGTATTTGCTGAAGTCCAAGCTGCTTTTTTTAGGGCATTCCTGTTCCTCTGTAGCTTCTCTAGGATGTGGGAAGCCATCCTCTAGTGGGAGGAAAAACCTAGTTTGGGGTTTTTGTGGTGGTTGTGTCCTGACTCCTGCAAACTGTAAAACCACTGGGGCAGCACGGGCAGCAGAACAAATGAAAGCTTCGCAGGGATTACGCAGAGAACTGTGTATAGGCAAAATGCACTGCAGCCTACTGGGGTGCTCTGTCCCAGCAGGAGAACAGAGGGCAGGGACCAGCTCCACGATGCCCCTCCTTTTTCTGTCCCTTTGGCATCTGATTTCTCATGTCAGCAGCAATTCTCTCATTGCCACAGAATCAGCACAAACCTCACATTGAGCATTAGTAGATGACAAACAGCAGGTCAGGGAGTCTCACTAACAGAGGAAGAGTTTCCTATCTTCATTACCGAGTGCAATCCCAAAACCTACGTGCTAGGGGCAGGATTTTCCTCTCCCACCATGGCAAGGCCAGACAAGCAACTGACTCATGGCAGAACTCTCCACAGCTCCAGTGCCGCTGTTCTTCCAGCCATCGGGAAAATTAAACCACCCTGCAGGTGGTAGGTACTTGGACTAGGCTTAGCTTAGGAAAGGATCCAGCAGGAGTATTTGAACTGCCTTGAAATGAATTGCTGAGTGCATTGCTAAATTGTTCTGAGAATTTGGATGTATACAGCAGCGGATCACTTTATTTGATCAGCATTTACAGTAGAGTGGCTCTGAGCTGCCCAGATGCCACTTAGCTGTAATGTTGCTCACCCCCTGAGATCTGCCAGAGTCGATGCCTGACTTCAGGACTCCACCAGAGCTGCCCTGTGACGACTTGGCCCTCGTGCGTGAAGGTGACACTTGCCTGCAAAGGGTCAGTAGCAGGCCTTTGCATCGCCAGCTGCAGTGCTACAAGGGGACGCTTAGCCCCATGTAAGAAATGTGGTGAACTTTTAACAGGCAATTAAGTTGTGTTGGGTGAAACCTGCCACTAACTCCTCACCCACCAGGTTTCTCTGAGGACATGCACTGTTTGTTGCTCCTCCTGCTCTCACTGTTGCTGCTGGGTGCAGCTTTCCCTCTCCATCACCGTATGTCAGGGACTGTGCAAACAACTGATACAGAGCAGGCTCATGGAGGTCTGAAATGTTAATTATTTCATCATCGTTATAACAAATACTGGTTAGGAAGATTTTACACAAGTATCTATTCTTATCTAGAGAGCTCAGAAATGTGAATCCACATGCACCACACAATGCCACTGGAGAAAATCCTACATGAATTTTGCTTCTTGAAAGTATTTAACTGTTGCGTAAATATTTCTGGATTCTAACAAACAAAGGGAAGGGTACTAAGACCAGACAGTGAACCAGTCCACTTACCAAGCCTCATCATCCAAACAACATCAGGCTAAGTTTCAGTCCGTGTAGTCCGAGTTACCGTTACTGATGAGAGAGATACCTTCACTGCAGGAATGATCTCCTCAGTCTGTTTTCCGCCTGTGTTTTAGTGAGGTTTAATTGTGCTGCTTCCAAGTGCTCTAGCAATGGACTGTATCCAGCACTAGCTGCTGCAGGGAAACTGGTTGAACTCTGCAAGTTATGAGCACAGCGTTGGCCAGTTTGTGGCCAAGCGTTGAACAGGGTGTGCTTTTAATAGAGCAGCTCCTACCAGGCAGGCAGGCCCTGCAGAGCTGAGCTTCTGGCTGGGGCTCTCCCGCTAAGGGAAGAAATTCACTCCTTGGTCACTGCTGGTCCAGCCCTAAGACTGGAATTGCCCAATGGCCCTGAAGCCCCTTCTGACCAGGAGAGTGTTAGCAGGCTTGACAACCCACTGGCAGGAGCGAGGGGCTGGAGCAGTCCCTGGCTCTCCTTCAGGATGCCCAGATAAACTTCTCGTCTTTACTTAAAAAGAAATGTGGAAAGAGGACCTGACTGAATCGCTGCTCTTGCAGGGGACAAACAGATTTGTGTTGCAGCAAATGAGCGCTGCAGCACTCCCATGCTGTCCCTCAAGGAGATACAAATCTATGAAGCAAGCCAGTAGGTAAGACACCAAACACCGGTTTTAGGGCTAGCTGAAAACTGTCTGCCTACAACCCTCTTCTCTTCCTGGCTCATCAGGAGTAAGAATGCTGCTCGATTTCTTCACAGGGTTATCAAAGTAAATTGACTCGCCTGATTTCTGCAAGCCCCCTGAAACCAGGACTAATGAGAGGTGTGAGACACTGATAAAGTATTTTTTTAACATTTCTGTGGGGTCTTTTCCACTGTGAACTTAATTTTCTTTTGTTATTTAAATTTTTGAATATATTTTTTCACAAAACTGATTTGCTACAGATGATGTTCTTAAAAGACACGGGGTTTTTCTGTAATTGTAAATCACATAGACTTGTAAAGATTGGACTGTCCCCCAGACAACATGATCTGCAATAAAAACTGGTTCAAAACACACCTGGAGGCTCATTCCCAGCGGTATCTTCAGTTCGTCATGTACACAGGCCTGGTGCCTTGGCTGCGAGGCCTTCAGGGCTGTAATCCAGGGTAGCAGCATGGCCTGTGGCCTGTGACCTGGCTGCGCAGGCTGCACCTGGTGATGTGAGGGCAGGCTGGGTCGCTGCCGGCTCAGGCTCTTGCTCAGCGTTCACAAATGATTTGACTGCAGCACACGGTCATGGATCAGGACCCCGTGTGCTGTGCAAACAGACCAGAGGTAATCCCAAACAAGCACGTGCCCAGAGCACGGCAAGACATCCCCAGCCCGGCTTTATCCCACCTCGCAGGTGTAACAGGGTAGTGAAGATGCAGCCGTGTGGACTTCAGCAGGGGCTGTCCAGATTTCAGTGAAGAGCTGATGGAGAAACGGGGGCCTTGTATGCTGGCAGAGGTGAGCGGCTCCAGAGGAGCACTGGGGTTTGGTCAAAGCCCAACCTGCCCTTCTGCTATTTGAACCCATGGTCCTAGGGAAGTGTCTTGATAAAAAAACAATGATCTTGTTTTCAGAGGGAGCCTTTTTCCACATTTAAAACATTTCTATTTAAGCAGGAAAAACTTTGTAGACTGCAGAGGTGGGCAGCAACATCTTCAGGAACAGGATGAACCCAGTTTTTAAGACTAGGCAACTAGATAGTGGCTCTTTCCCCTTCTGTGAGGAAGACCCCCGCCAGGGAGGAACAGCTGGACCAGTCTTCTCTAGTGCCTCTGGGGAAGCCCCAGACCAGCCTTGTCGCTGGGACTGATGCTGTCAGTAGTGACTAATGGCTCCATCTGCCTGGCTGTCAGCAGTGCCACCCGAACGGTTCAGCTGTGCCCTATCTGGCACAGACCCATCCAGGCCCGTGATCTCCATTCCCCAATGCCACTGCCAGGTGGTTCTGCTGTGGAAGATGCAGATGGCATCACTGCCACAGCTGCAGGACAAGCTGTGAAGCCTTCCCTGCCCCCCCCCCCAAGACAGCACCGAGCTGCCGCACAGATGCAGCTGAGCAGCCTGTTGGAGTGCGGACGCAGCACAAGGCATTAGAGGCTAGGCCTGGATATGGGCTCAGGAACAACCATGCTGCCTACAGGGGACCTCGCACCACGTCGGCATGACACACAACACTGCTAAGCTCCAGGCAGCAGAAATGTTCATGGCAGCCGTGCCCCAAACACACAGCAACACCCAGCAAGCAAGAGGCGAGGTTTGGTATGGCAGACCTCACATCAAGACCTGGCGGACAGGTCTCGCAGCCTAGAGAGAAGCCGAGTCCCACAGACACCAAGTAACTTGGTGCCTTGCAGAACACAGCTCAGTGGCCTGGCAGTGAACTGTCCAACACAACCGCCATCGACAGCAACACACGCGGTCTCTTCTCCGCTGCAACACGCACAGCTGTCTGCCTCACCTGTAGGGCACCATGTCCACCACAACATGTGCATACAACAGCTTCTCACAGCAGCTCTGGAGACCACACATCATCCCAGGCTGTCTGCAGAGATGTACGAGACCTTTATGCTGGAAAGTGAGTGAGTGCTTTTGGATATTTTTGACAGCCACTCAGATTGAACAAAGGCTTTGAAGCCCAGAGGCCGTGAGAGGCACCAGCTGACACAGGATGCTGTTCCTTCTCCCCCAGAGCTGCACAAGAGCACAGGGAGGGCTAAGCCTTCTGCTTCAGACCGAACAGAGACCCTCATTCCTGTGTTCGCGGCTTGTAAAACATCCATTTTGTTGCATATGAGATAGCTTGAGATTACTTCCATTTCTGGGCTTGGGGGGTCTCATCCTAAAACTTCATCCCTTACATGCGCCGGCTTTTGAGTGAGACTAAAAAAACATGGACCAGCTCCCAGTAGCGGCTGTATTTCCAGCACAGGATTAAGTGGTCACCCACTAAGGGCCTGGTCTTACCTTCTGCTCCACAGCTTGATATGTTTTCCTGAAATCAGTATACAGAAACTAATAGCTCGTTAGTCTAACGCTGAATGAGGAGCTAGCTCTGTCAAGCGCCTACAACACCTGGGGACTCCAGTGGGTACCAGGGACGTTTGCAGCAGAGCGGGATCAAGCCTCTCACTGATTTAAGAGGCCTTTTACAGGGTGCCGGAGAAATTCAAGTTGGGTCATTACTCAAGCAAGTTAACTGGTAATGCCATCACTTTGCTTTTCTGCTGTTTCAGGAACTGTGCTAAAGGTTTACGAGTAAATATTAAACCAGGCTTTCAGATGACTCTGCTTACAGCCTACCTGTAACAGCTGGAAGGAATAACAGCACACAGCTGACTAAACAACCGTACCCGTTCTTCACAAGGTGAAAGCTGTGTGCTGTGCTTCGGCCTCTGATCACCCCTACTGTAATGGATGCTTTCCTTCTCGCAGGCAGCAGCACGCTGACCCACCGACCAAACTCTTCCTCCTGAACTCTGCGGAGATTTGGCAAAACCTGCAATCATGTGGTGGGGTGGGGAACTAAACTCGCTGTACTGACATAAGGAAAGGCAGGCTGAGCGTGCACCAGGTTAGAGGGACCGGCACCGTTTCTGGACAGCACAGGCTTACAGCCTTTCCTGAAGAGGCAGCATGCTGAATGCACATGCAACCACCCTGGTGCCAGACCAGCACTGCTCACTTCACTTCCAGCACGGGGGTGAACCCAGGCTGCTTCTGTTTAAAGAAATGCATTTCACTGAAAAAGCTGCGCTCGCTGGCCCTGGGTGGATTCCTACCACCGTTCATGGGGAGAAAGCCAAGCAGATCCCTGGCTTGTCTCGTTTCTCTCTCGTTTTTGAAGCAAGGCAAGGGCTCCCAGCACTCACCACGATGGTGCCTGGTATGTGCAGTTAAAATCCAGGGACACAATGAGGCCAGGCCATTCAGCAGCAAAATTCTCATCTACCTTCTGCAAACAAGAGCCAGGAGGCACAGAGAGACAATCAGGCATCCTAGGATGTGGAAGGAGGAGTGCCCAGGCCAACTGAACACCTGCACTCTGAAAAGGAGGCGTGTGAAGTTCACTGAAGAATGGAGAGAGACTCGTGTCTTTGGAGGCAGGACAACATGTTCCTCACCACAGTGAAAAAGCCCTGGCGCAGTCTGAATACAATCGTTTGGAAAAGGCAAACGGTTGCTTTCCAGAAAAATGGAAAATGAATGGATTCTTCATTGATAATCTCTCAGACTAGCCCTTAAAACATTTCTGACTCATTCAGTGGACAAAGCAATAAAGCAGGTTTGAGTGCCCCGCTCCGGGAAGGATGAAGAAGAGCAGATGTAAATAAGGAAGCAAACATGAGCATGACCAACCTGGATGGGATGGAGCTCGGTTGAGCACAGTCCCTGCTAATTTGCTAGAAGTTTGCTAACTCCAGAGTGCAGGCAGTTCTCAGCACACTAGGTTGAATCGATGCAGACCTCACACAGGAAAGTTTTAAAACCCCCAAAAAGGAGCATCAGATCTTTGTCCTGCTACTTAACTATGTGAGCCACAGACTTCCCGCATACAACCTGCCACTATCAACTAAGAAGCATGTGAGAAATCCGGCGCTCAAAGGCGACAGAAAAGTCATGCCATCCATGATGATTTGATTCTTTTATTATGCTAAACACGTGAAACGGATTCTCATGTTTTCTCACTTCTTGGATTGAATTTGCAAAGATACAAACTTCAGCAAAGTGCTCTCTACTACTCCAAGATCTCTCTCAGGCATACCCAACTTTTCCCCCCCTGTCATTAAAATTAAGTGAGGAGTGAATAATACGATAAATCTAAAGCATTAATACCTCTCGGCGTCTCAGAATTGGCCTCTTAAAATCAAGGAGTGCTTACTGGTTTCCAAAACAATGGCATAAAAGACTGGGTTTTGGAATATGCTATAAAAGGTAGACAGAATAAAATGGGACTGGAAAAGGCTCTGCCATGATACAGAGGTACCCCAGCATTTTCCCACTTCTTTAAAGCACGTGTTTAAAAGGAATACTTAATACATAACCAGTGCATAGCATTACAAATAAAAACCCAGGAGTATGTGAAAAATCAAATGGCAATTCATATGCACCATTCCATAGTGCCTGTACATACCTATCACCATTGAGAAGTCAGATCCAGCACACAGCAGTTAAAGGGGGTCAGATATTCCAGACTGAGGTGCTAATGGCATAGAAACATTCACATTCTGTACAGCAGCACAAAACACGGCTATTCCTTTAGACTTTAAATATTTGAATTATTTGAAACTAGATTAGATCAAAACCACCTTCCTTTCAGCAAAAAGAAATAATACAAAACAGACTGAGTGGCTCGTAAAAGTAACAGTACTTGACAGAAGTAAAAATAACACTAATGTAATACTTGGGTCTCCCCAGCTGTTGGCATTTTTAGATGTTCCAAGTATTTCTCTCTCGTACTGCACAGGCTCAAATGCACTGACAGCCGTTCTAATACGGCGTGTAAGAGAGCCTCCGAGGACGTTAAAATAGATACACCGAAGAAAATCCACATAGAGCATTACAAGAGTTTCCCAGGTGTCCACAATTACTTTTTGACTTAATCAAAGGCTTAATGGTGATGTGGTTAACTGTCCTAGAATAGCTTATTTGAAATCAGATCGTGTCCAAGTAAAAATAAATGAGAAAAGCACCACTAGAGGTACATAGAAATGATCACTGTGAGGAAAGAGATGCTGAAGGTAAGCATGAAATGCTTGAGGCCACTGCAGCCACGGACTAATGCCTCGTAAAATCACAACGAATGTACCCTTTAACCCTTTGCTGCGTTGCTGGTCTACACGTGATCCCAGACACCACCCTGCTGTTTCTCACTGCGCGCGATGTGTCAGGGAGGGAAACCTTGGTGCACAGGGATGTGATCTCAGTTGCGTCCAGGTACCGTGAAGTGTTTCCGTAACACGGCAGTGACACGCAGCTGTCACATGCCGATATTTGGACATTGCACTGCTTATTCTGCAATACTTTTCCTTCTCCTTTGTATAGACAGCTGTGGTTTCACCGGTCTGAACCCAGGCCTCCTAGTCAATGTACTAGTGTTAAGCTTGGAGAACTAACGAATTGGGATCGCTTATGCCCTGATTTTTTTCTTTTTCATAATAAAATAAGATACTATTACATCCAGTTCAAATACTGCTGCCTATAACATTTATATATAATATTAACATACGATTACAGAAGAACTAAGATATAGTTGACGGACTCCATCAAAAGACACGTTCTGATGTCTCTGTCTAAAAATTAAATTGCTGGTGTTTCCAGTTTCCCCTTGGAGACACAGGAGCAAGCCCTGAGCTGCAGGATGCTTTCTCTGTGCTATTAGTTTTGCTGTAACTGGGACTCATAAGAATTTTATAGCGAAGAAGTCCCTCCCATAGGGTTGGAGGGGGATGAAACCAAAAGTCTTCTAACAAAAGTTCAGACAAGCATATAACCCCAAATGAAAGCGTGTGTTGCTAGATGGGCTACTGAACAAACTCAGTTTAAACCCAGTGGATTAACTCAGTATAAACTACAAACCTGGGTTCATCTCCTACAGTTTACATAGAAACGCAAAAATGTTGTAAGCAGAATGCATAACACAGAAAAATACCAAACTGAACACTGTTCACACAGGTAGGAAATGAACACTAATTCTACGTGCGGTGTCACCTTCCACGCTGTGCTAGGGACTGGGGAAATACAAGGGGAGAAATAAGCAATTGCTGGTTCAGTAGTATCTTATGAAAAGATTATTTTGGGGGGAGGTGGGGACGGACACATTCAATCTAACCACGTTAAAGCTTTGGCCAGTGTAAGTCACCGGGGCTTTCACTGACAGCAGGCACGGAGCCAGCGTCTGTGCCGAGGAGAAAGCCTCAGCCAGGAAAGTGGCAACGTGGGGGGTTATCCACAAAACAACTCCAGCCAGCAGCACTCGTCTGCGAGCTGCGGAGGAGCAGTTGTGTTTCCTGTGTCTGGAGCTGGCTAAGTCTCCCCTTCTACAGGGACAGCTTGTTCTTGTGCTGGCTCAGGAAGAAAAAAGAAAAAAAAAGAAAAGAAAATGGAGAAAAAAAGAAAAGAAAAAAATGCCAATCCCACAGGGAATAAGATGTGTTGGGAGCATTATTCAAATGTTTCCCAGCGCTTTCGGAGCTGTTCTACTTTACCTGGGGTGGCTGACACCTCCTGTCTTGTCTTTTTTAACAAATCTTCAAACGGATCCTTTGTCTCCTCCAGCTTTGAGGGCAGTAACACTGACTCGAGGCCCTTAGCAGGCCGGGGGGGAACCAGAGGGGGATCACTAGAGGGCCTTGGAGCCACCCCTTGCTTGGCATCTATCTTTGAGCCAGAAGGGCCCAGCGGTAGTGTTCTGATTTTGGAAGGGCCACTTAAGCGTGCTGGCTGCAGAGAGCTGGTCGGGGACGGGCTATGGCTTTGCTGCAGCAAGGAGCTAGCCTGCGGTGCTGTTGGAGCCTGGCCAAAAAGATTGGGCATGGACAACGTTGAAATGTTTGGCTGAGATCTTTGTGGCGGATAGAAGCCAGAGTTTGGCGCGATGAAACTGGAGCTGTAAGCGTGACCTAAGGGAGGGAGGAAGGGGCCCCTCGTGGCTCTCACCAGGGTCACGGGCAGGGCTGCTGGCATCGACTGCGCAAACGGATTGAGAGACGTCTGCAGAAATGGCGGGGCTGAAGGAGGGTAGGCCAGTGGCTGGGCGAAGGGTGGGGGAGCAGGAGGTGTGAAGTCGTTTGCCACTGGAGCAAAGCCAGGGGCAGGGCTAGGAGCGGCTGAGCTCTGCAGACTGCCAGAGCCTTGCTGGGAGCCAGTGTTTTGCCAGCTGGTTGTCTTCAAGGGATCCAGAAGATTAAGAAGGTAATCGCTTTCATTACCTGCGTTTTCTGCATTGACCTTGACTGGCTGGAGCATCTCAGTAGCACTGCTGGCACTGGAGAGGAGCTGGGAGGGGTGAGGAGAATAGTTTACAGCCTGCCTGATTTCTGGGTCAAGGGAAATGCTCCCCGACCCAAAAGGCTCCTGCATGAGTTCTGAAACCACGTCACTGCGCCCTGCAGCCGGGGGGTTCACAGCTTCTGCAGGCCCCACCGGCAGCGGGTGTTTGGTGGGCCTGGGGGCGGGGGGCGGAGGAACTATCCCCAGCTCAGGCGTCTTCCTGCCTTGCGGCCTGGGGATGGTGATGTTCCCTTGAGCAGCCAAGGTCACTTCCTCCTTTTCTGCAGGGGCCAGAAGGCTGTCTCTGCTCCGAGGTCTGCGTGGCGCTGAAGGGATGTTCCCAAGAGCAGTCAAGGGCCTCTCTGGTGAGCTCTGGGAATATTTGGTGGGAATAGCCATGTCGTCATGCCCCATGCTCCACAGCTTGTTGTAGGGGTGAGAGAGTTTAATTGCTGGCACAATCCTGCTCCTCTCGGACACACCAAGGTCCATTCTCTGTCAGAAAGCATGAAGAGGGTTAACATCTCCGACTTGGCACAATGCAAAGCAAAGTGCAGGCAGGACGATGGGGAGCACCCGAGAGGAAGCTGCCTGCCTGCCACGAGCATCTCCAAGGAAGGGACACGGGGAAAGGCACAGCCTAAGAGTTTGGATGGAAGACTGAAAGCCAGGACTCTTGGGCTAGCGAGTGGTGACAGTGGACTGTCTGGCTATTATGTGCACAGTGTGACACCCACGATACCAGGCATTTGGGAACTTTGATTAACCTATGGAAAATGTCCTGAGAAACCCAAATGCAACACGCTCATCTCCTTATTGGTCTGACAATATGTGCCTTCTGCTTGTCATTGCACAAAGGCGCCATGGGCTCCAGGCTTAAGCTTTGCACTGAAGAAACATAATCAGGAAGCATGCTACACACAGGAATACTAATCATCTTTCCAACTCACAGACACCGAAAGCAGGTTGGAGACGGGGCCGTTTAATGAGTGCGAGCAACTCTGAAATGAAGGGAACATTTGGATTCCCTAAACTCCTCAATACTTGCATTGGAGACAAGTCTCAGGCAGAAGGAGTGGACTCTAGGAACAGGACAAGTACTGCCTGCTTTGAAAACAAAGATCTGGGTTTCTACCTTGCTTTTATATAGGGACACATAGCCACTGCTCTAACTGTAGCCCGCTCCATGGACCTAGCCTCTCCACTCAGAAATGAACCTTCTGAATGCACTGGGGGGTGGGGAACCCTTGCACTGATGGGGAAACAGGACGTCCTTTCCAACTGGAGAGTAGTGGAGGGAAGGCGCTTTCATTCTGCATGAGTCCCTCTGGCATTTACCATCCTGCTTGTATGAAAGCCCATACCTGGTAATCAAATGTGCATCGTTGCTCGCCCTCCTCTTTGGGGGTCCTTAGGTCTTCTAAACTTTTGGCTTGGCTTAGAGGCTGAGGTTGTGTTTCCACTTCTAAGTTAGTGAAAATGTCCTGGAGGAGGTTGACTTCTGTGACCCTGTCTGGCGTTGGAGGGCTGGGAGGCGCAGCCTCACTGGCTTTCTCTGGACTGATCACTTCTTCCCCATCAGCGCTGTCGGACTCTTTCAGGGCCCGGTACGGCTGAGGCCTAAGAGACAAGAGTGCTTTAACTTTTCACATTTAGAAGTACTTTCTTTCTAACCCTTTTCAAAGCACGCAGTGTTTCAAACTAGGTCACGAGTCCCCTGGAGCAGCCTCAACGTGGATATGATGCACCCATCACATTACCCTACACAATATCCCCCTTAATCTGTGTGTGGGGCAGGGGGCTGGCTGGGGCGCACCGCATCATGTCCAACTCTAAACTCTCGACTTGCTTCCCTTCCATTGCACATGACACGAACACAGGGTGCAAAGTTGTGTTATATGGACAATGCAGCCTGCAGCTCAAGGAGCGCACCCAAGTGAGCCGGCTACTGACGGTCAGCGCAAGCTGGACACGTTCTGCGGCCTGCACGGTGCTGGGCTGCAGCAGACTGCCCCAGCAGAGCGCTCACGTATATCCATGCAGGCAGCTGATGTGGTCTGGACTGCAGGGTGGACATGCACTTAGCTACAAAGACTCAGGTTTGAACTGGCACAGTTGCAAAGGATTTTCTCCAAGGTACTGCTATTGCTGTATAGAAGATCTCCACTCTCAAGCAGCTCCACCAAGCTACTTTCACTACAGATACTGCTGCTCTCTCAGGTGGGCTAATGAAATAGATAAACCCACATGGACCTTTTCAAAACTCATTTCAGTAAATGCACATCTCTGAAAAGAGCAGCCTAAGTTTACTGGCGACCCTTCTGTTTTCTTGATAATTGTTGCATTAGATCAAGAAGAAAAGGTCACAATTATTTGTCATCTGTGCAACCCCTCGAGAGAGGGAGTATAGTGAAGTTAGGCTTTAAAGGGGAAACTGCCCAGTTAAATATCTTAATTTCTCTGCCCACTCTCTTGGCGAGCCTGACAGACAGACCAGGCAGGGGCACATTCTGGCTCTCACAGCTAGTGCAAGGCTGGGGTGGCTGTAGAGGAACGTTCTTATCTAGCAGTTGCCATAGGAAGCACCAGGCACACTTCTGTTCAAGTCTGAGAGAAGCTTTCTTTTACAGAAGTCTAAACTCCGGAGGAAATACTATCTGGAGGAGCGAGCGTGAGCAGAGCTAGCAGGGCTAGGTCGACAGGCAGACGTGACTGTATCATTTCAAACAAAGGTTATCGAGCAGGGAGCGATGGGAAAGCAATGATGGTGCTGCTACAGACCCAATGAGCAGAGCTACGCGGGAGCAGCAGTAATTGGACATCAGCTTTGTGCTGCGAGTAGCTGTGAGCCCCACGTGAGCACAGTGCTACTAGACCCGGCTGTTAGATAGTCTCAGCAAGAAAGGGCAATTGCAAATGCTCCCTTGTTCCTCACACAGCTACTGTCCCTTGCTTCCAGCTAACTCAGCACAGGATGCAATCCATGGTATTTTCCTCCAGTAATTGGGAATATTGTGCGCAGTGTCGATGATTATACTGGTGTCGTCTTATCAAGAGACAACGCAGTCCATTATGGAGAAATCTATTTTACATTTACAGCCCAGGCCAGGGTTAGCAGAACGCACTTCTCATGTGCACCTCAGCAGAAAACATTCCTCCAACACCATTTGATTTGCATGTTGCTTCTGCGTGCAGGAGAACAGCAGCATAATGTGCACCCAATTAATCATAAGAACTGACATGCATTTCTGCCGTGATTGGCACTTGACTGGCAGCCGGTCTCACCGTGCCATTTAAACAAGGGTTTAGATTAAAAGAAAATATTTGTGAGCCCCCAAATAATAAAAGGTAATGTGAAAAAATGCTCCTCTCCCCACAGAAGCATGGCTGTGTGAAATACACCATGCAAATTCATGAGCAAAACGCATCTCGCTTCATTCACCGCTACACAAATGCTCGGCACTCAGCCATCAGCACAGGTCTGAAGAGGTGTGGGGGTAGGACACAGCCTTCTGATCCCACCGTCCTAGCAAGTAGCTGCTCATGCTCCAGCATGGAGACCCACTTTGACACGCAAGGAGCAGGCTGGTGAGCAGTGAACTAACACCATGACTCGTGAAATGGAAATGCAGGCCTGTGTGAAGAGGGTGGCTGAGGACACCAGATGGGGTGATGAATGTGGAAGCGCAGGAGCGAGCTGCACCGATTTAGGGCCGACACCAGCAGGCTTTGGATCGGAGCCTTAGTGAAGAAGAGCGTAAGCGAGACCTTGAGAGAGAAGTCACGATTCAATCTCTACCCTCACATCCAACATACACCCGAGCCCTGCAAACCAGATGGTGCAGGAGAATCCTGGTGGGTCATTCGTAAATGAAACACTTCCATGATCTCCTCCTACCCAAGCACACATGTGGGAGCTTCCCTCCAGCCCCCAGGCTGCATAAGCTCTCAAGTCTCTTCTCACCCCGTCCCCGTCATTCTGGTGTGATCTCCCCCTTCTAGGTCTCCGAACCCCACCTCCAAATCATCAGCTGCCCTGACAGCTATTACATTTCTTCCGACTCGCATAGCACTACTGGCTCATCTCAGAGCAAGTTCAAACGCTGCGGTCGTATTATGGCGACTCCAGGCTTAGTCTTTCTATACATACAAGGTCTACAGACCACAATTCATGTAATCTTTAAGAGAGCACCATCTTCTGGACGTAACCACATTCACATCCTCAGAGAACTGCTCCGAGCTGACCACAGATCACTCTCTCAGTGGCGGAAGTGGCCCAAGATCCATTGCTGTCCAGATTTCAGGACTTCCTGCTCTTGCAGGAGTTGTAATAGTACAAGAACAGGCTCCCTTTGCCATGTTTTGGCACCTCCTCTCCAGGCAACGCCAGAAAGCAGACGGCACTGCAAAAACACACAGTATTGCGTAGGGTTTACCACGTCCTTCAAACTTTTGAGGAAGAAGTTCAGGTTCAGTCTGAACAGCTCCTTGGAACTGATTGCTTGGACCAAGGCCTCATGGTGGGGCTGCTTTCTAGCAAAGTATGCTCCCAGACCCAGCAACAAACACGCAAGAGAGCGGTTTGCCATAGGTCAGTCAACATGAGCTCTGAATTATTCCCAATCTCAAACATTTTGCACATTCACCTTATGAACCCCCAGGTCCATGGAAGGGGTGCGTTTCTAGCATGGCGGCCTTCAGAGGATTTCAGAATCTGTCTGCTGATGCCCAAATATCCCGGTCCCCAAAACGGGGATGTGTAAGCTTAAATGGTGACATAGACATCTAAACTCTGGTCTAGGGACGTCCCCCGTTTGAAAACTGGGCTTGAAATACAAAGGGTTGGAGATTTGCTGAACTGTTGGTAAATACCATGTGGGTATGAGACGCACACAAAACACTCACATGTGCACGGGTTAAATAAACCTGCACAAGGATACAAGCCTCCTCCTGCACCAGAGCCGTGTGCCTGTTGTGAAGAATGGCATCTGGGACCAGAGCTGAGAACGGAGTTTAGAAAATCGGAAGGTCTCACTGCAAAGCACTTCATACAAAGTCAAGGGCACAGACAGCTCGGCATTTCCTGGGCAATTGGAGATCAAGCTGCGCACTGGGATGTCCCGGGGGAGGAAATCAGAAGTCTCGGGGACCCAGCACACGACGGGACAGAGCTGAGTGGGTAGTGTTGGAGGCAGCCGACGAGCACACAGAAGCAAAGCTCACACAGTAACACAAAAGCACAATTAACACTGTACTGGGGAAATGGTGCAAGACAAAGTGTTGGAGGAGGAGGGCAGGAGGGAAGCAGCACCGGACCAGAACGCTAACCAGGGGGTTACCTCCAAGAGCCCAACCAAGCCGAGACAAAACGATAAGCTGCGCATCCCGGACCGGGGACAACACACAGTGCAGTGCTTCATGCAGGACACATGCTCTCGCATGCCTCGCAGTGTCAAAATAGGCAAGCAGGAGAAATACACATTCATCAAGTGCTACAAAAAGATCCCCAAAGCCTTTTACAGCTCCCAAGTACAGAAGCAGGCAGCCCTGGCTAGTGCAGATATCGCAGTTCAAAGACTATATTAATACAATGAAAGAATAAAGAATAGACCATTCAAAAGGACCAGAGAAGAAAAAGTTTTCAGAGAAGCCAGAGACAGGATCCTCTTCCTGCTGAAATTCATCATCAGAAGAGTCCTCAGAGAGGAAGACTGTATAGTGTCGCATGGGCTTTACAAGGCTGAAGGAAACAGGAAGAGAAAAGGGAGTTATGGAGTTGTCACATCCAAAGCTTCAGAGGCAAGAGAAAACCAAGCGATTTCTGATTCCAAATCATTTCTGAATGCGACTGCCTGCCTGGGAGCACAGGGCTCAGTGACACATTGTGGAGCTGTACTTTTCAGGCAAAAAACCCCCAAAACCCCCCCAACTATTTTACTAAAACTTTTACTGCTGCCGTCTGTTGAGAAAAGGCGTTGGGACCTGTGAGCCAAGCCCACACCTATCAAAAGGGCGCCAGGCTAGAGCCCCAGCTCTCCCAGCACAGCCCCATCAGACAGGCTTCATCCTGAATGAGCCATCTAAGCCGGGGTCCTCCTGAACGTCCGATTCCAGAAGAACTAATGACACCAAGTTTGCTAAATGCGGCGGAGTAAGCAGGAGAGTCCGTGCGTGGGTATAACGGACGCGAGCACAACTTGATGTCAAGTCACAGGTGCCAAGGACCAGGACGGAGAGCCACAAAACGGCCAAGCCACCTCCTTGTCCCAAAGCCGTGCACCTCACTGCCCTGTAGCACTTACCTGCCCCGATGCTCCGCACAGCTAACATCTCACTGATACTCGTCTTCAACGCGCGTGTTTGGGGTGCTGTCCTAGCAGGTGCCGCGCGGAAGAGGGCAGGTGATGCTTACGTACTGCACCACACACCGACGCACAGACAACGCGCACCCGCCACTGGGCGATTACATGCTGCAAAAAGCAGGCTCTTCTTATTGCAAGTGCCAACCTCATGTTTTCACCAGGAAGATTTGTCACCCAGTCTAGGCCTTGCTTGCAGTTTTCCTTTTGTTATTAAAAATACATTTTCCTCATCAGCCAGTCCTCTGAGCTCTGCCTGCACAGCCACACTACATCTCTACTTCAGTCTGCAGATGCGCTGAATGACCAGAGATGTGTGCTACAGCTGAGCAGACGGCAACGGGGCCATTTCATGCCACGCTTTGAGGTTTTGAAATCTGTTTGTGGTTCCAATTTGGAAGGAAAACCGAATCTCCTGGAAGTGAACAAGAGAAGGGAACAGGGTGGAGGAAGGGAGCGGATGTCTCTCTCTGCCTACAGCTAGCGACTGGGTGCGGCCGGGAGGAGGGGAACCCAGGTTCACGTGGGGCAAAGAAGGAACTTGAGTCTGGGCCTTGCACATCAGACGACTAGCAGAGCAGGTTCTGGCACCATCAGCCCCCAAATTCTGCAAACTGACCGGTGTCCACAGAAGAGCCAGGCTTTGCCAGAACACCAGACTGGACTGCAATTTGGCAAGAATACCCCAACCGGCACAGGGTTACTCAGAGCCTCCGTGAAGTATTTTCTGAAGATTTCAAAAGACAAACATTTCCCAAATAACAGAAACCTAAAAAAAATTGGACACCAATATTACTCTGAGGGTCCTGCATGCTGCTCTGCTGAACCTTATTTTACAGTGGGAACAGCCTGGGCTGGCTTCCCAGCCCTGATCTCTTATGCAGCAGAAAAATAAAAATCAGACAAGATTACGAAAGCATGCACCATTTCCAGTCACCCCCACACTTTTCCTAACTATGTTCATCTCATCAGCTGCATGCACCTGAGTGCAGCATCCCAGCAATAGCTGCGATTGGGTAGACACTGCCAGCAGCACAACGCTATATTAAAAAAAGAAGAAAAAATCCAAGGGCGAGGGACGGATCCTGCCATTCATAGCAAAACTACTACTACAATGGGCACAGAATTGGGCCCAGCAGTAAGGAGCCAGAGGTGATGGAAATGTTTGCAGCACTGTCACAGGCCCAGGGCGGGAGGAGCTGAAATGGTGTGAAGAGAGCAGTGACTTGTGGGCTTCCTGGCACGGATGCCGAATGCCGTGTGAGCAGCAGCTCTTGCGTTTAGGATCAGCCCTTACTGTTCTTTTAGTTCTTTTGTCCCGACTTCTACTGTGAAATTAAGCATCGCTGAAAGACAAACAGAGGCTGAACATTTCCATTGAGCACATGAAGAAAGTTGAACACTGGGACCGATAGCTTGAGAGGGTTTGAGATGCCATTGTGCATCAACATGTATTCATAATTGGGTCAGAGCTAATTAACAAGGGAGCTGAAACTGGGGCTGGGCACAGCCGCTCACATTATACTCCAGTCAGCTTCACTCCCGTTAGAGCGGTTGCACGAGCTGCTCCTCTCTCCTCCTGTGCTCGAATGGACCTTCCAGGGAAAGCCAAGTGCTGCTGCCAGATTTGCTAAACTCCTTTTTTTGGGAACCTCCAAATCATTTCCATTCATGCAAGCAGGGGGCTAACGAGAGATTCTTTTAGAATCAAGGATATTGGTAAAAATGCTTCTCCTTTTTCGAGCCCTGGCCCCACCAAACACACCTATTGTTCTGTTTTGCACGTGCAAGATGACCACTCCAGCAAAGCCAAAATGATTTAACAGGAATCAAAAGAAACCCCCTGCATTTCCAGAGAGCTCTGCTACAAAATTCAACCTTTTGGCTACATGTTCAAATGAGAGACTCTGGCCCAGCGTTACAGACCAGTTGCTTCAGTCCCTTTCCAAAGCGCTGCCCTGACCCCTTTGTTTGGCGAGGGTCTAGCTCAGCTCAAGCACTTGCACATACTGCGACACAGAATGAATTCACCAGGCAGGAATGGCCAATAATTTGCAAGCGAGGATTCAGAAGAGACCCGATGGATCAGCTAATCAATAGCATTTCAATGCAGATCAATGCAAATAAGGTGGAATCTATAATGATAGTTAATAGGCACACTTTTTTTGCTGCAAGGCACCTTACATGAAAAAGTGGGATTTCATAATAAAAGCTTATTTAAATTCAGCTGCTGCTCTTGTTCCACAAAAGATTTTTGTCAAAGATAAGGGATGAACAATCTAAAGTGTCCAAGTTTAAATTTTTATTAGCTTCAGGCAGTAGAATCCAAAAAAATGTGTGCCTATTCCCTCATTAACCCAATTCAGCAACTCTCCTGCAGTCTGCCACCCACTACTTGCTAGGATTTCATACACAAAGAGCTGTCTCTGAAAAGGCAGGTCACAGCAAGCCCAGCTACAAGGCAGGCAATGCTGTAGACTTAGAGGGAAAAAAGGATCCTGTCCGTCACAGCTACAACCCTCATCATCTCCACATGACTGCACCAGCTCCTGCCTACCTAATCTCTTAGCTGAGTTACCATGCAGATGACTTGCTGATCTCTTTCTAATGTTTAGTTTAACATGCCTTCGGTTAGCACTAGCATATGACAGTACTGACAGCCGTGGCTGTTCCTTTTTAAATATCATGTCAGAAACACAGTGCAATAAAGCCGGGGATGCGCTCCATGGCTCTGCGTACCATTATGATAGTATGGGTTTATTTTTTAATGAGGAAGATCTGCATCTCGGGAGCTGTTTTCATGTGTCAGGATGCATGGACAAATCAGCAGCACATCACGCTGGCCAAAAATGAAATGCTGACAAATGTAGATATTTCAAATTTAATTGACACCTAAATGTACTTGAGATAAAAAATACAGAAAATCACTGAGCCCCGGCTCTGGGCATTAACGAAGGGAATATAATAATTTTAAAGGCTATTCCTGTTATCAGAAAGGGAACTTTCATTTGCATATTACATTAACTGCTTTGCTTTTTGTCTGATTGCGCAGATTATGCTGAATAGGAACAGCCTGGACTTGCTTTTGTGTCTTGCCTTGGGGAGGCCTGCCCAAGGTTCAGCCATTTCCTGACCAGGGCGAAGCTGCTCTGGACCAGGATGGTTTTTGTCCCTCAGAAACGAACAAGGGAATTGGATGTTTGGGCCTTTTTGCTGCCAATATGAAGTCAGCCCAGGGGTGGGGGAAGGGGGACACTCCCTAGGTTTTTCTCAGTGAGCACACCACAAAAACCATCCCCAGGAATACTTATGAATAATCATGAGCACTGTGCATAACAAAGATGAAAATATTTGCTTGGCATTTTGAAATTTGTTCCTGCCAGCTTTGCCAGAGCTTGCTACTCAGAGGCACAGGCAAATCTGAAGCGAACAGAAATTAACTGGAGAAAGCACATTTTTAATGCAAGGCATGAGAATTCACCCCAGAAATCTGCTGGAAAACCCGTCCTCGTTCCGTCGGGGAACAGAAATGACACTCATCACCCGCGTGTCCAAAGAAAGCTAACAACAGGAGTAAGGTGCTTTTACTGCAGCGTTTAAGCAATGACCTACAAACCAGGAAACACTGGAAGAGCTTCTAATAATTTCTAAGATGGGAGGAAGGAAGGAAGCCATTCCCTGCTCTGACAGATACAAAATGCAGACAGGATTTGAGCACTATTTCAAAACCTGCCACAACCTTGACCGACACCAAGCACGCACACGGAGCTTTTTCTTTGCACATGCCATATCCCTCGACAGAGGCTGGTTGCACGTTACGTCAATTCTTCCCAATTTACACATGGCAAAACTGAGGCTCAGAATGCCGGTTTCTTGTCCAGAGTCACAGAAGCAACTCATGGCAGAGCCAGGAACCGGCCTCCAGGTGCCTGGGTCAGAGTCCTGCTTGGCCCATGCAACAGGACCCATGGGGAAGTGCAAGACTATGCTCTTGGGTGCAGTTCTGGATGAGGACACGTGTATCCCCCACGAATCTGGATGTCGTAGCTATCTGCCCCACCTCCGCGCTGCTGTCGGTGCTCCTGGGCACAGCAAGATGGCATCAGGTAACCAAAGCTTACAATGACATGGATGCCCTAATTCCACACAGGGCAAAGGAAAAACACCAGTCAGTGAATGTGGAGTAAGAGACTGGGCTTTGACAGGAAGCTGCACAACCCCCACGGGATCCTGAGGAATGCCATCACGTCTTATGTGGGATTGACCTTCGGGACAGACTCGGAGTCAGTCCAATGCAGAAACCAACCAGGAGGCTATGAAATATGGAAAGCAGCCATGGTTTGCTTTTAGGAGGAACTCCCCCAAGAGCAGGTTGCTGCCC